GGAGTTGAAGTCCACAGGCCTTAAAGTTGCCAAGTTTGAAGGCCTCTGGATTAGAAGTACTTGTACCTATTTGTATTATTATTATTATTGTTGCTTATAAAGGGCTTGGCCCAGTTAATGCAAGGTTCACAAAATATGCATGTTTATATTGAAAATAAAAAAAAACTTATTTGAGAGCAAATTGTGGTTGTTGTCGTTGTTGTGGTTATAGGTAACAGGTCTTCAAACTTGACAGCTTTAAGACCTGTGGACTTCAACTCCCAGAATTCTTCCTCCAGCCATGTTAGCTCAGGAATTCTGGGAGTTGAAGTCCACAGGCCAACTTTAATTGCCAAGTTTGAAGACCCCCTTGCTTTAAGGCCTGTGGACTTCAACTCCCAGAATCCCCCCGGCCAGCCATGCGTGATTAACTGAGGAATTCTGGTGTTTGAAGTCCACCGGTTTTATATCTTTTGGGGTTGTTCCTTCGGCTGGGTGACATCATCTGGAGGAGTGCAAATGAAGGAGAGGGAGACGGAGGGAGGGAGGGAGAGAGAGAGAAAGGGGGCATCACTTGGAATTCTGGGAGTTGAAGTCCACTGGTCTGAAAGCGGCCAAGGTTGGAAAGCCATGTTTTAAATTTGGAGGGGTTCTTCCTATCTCAGGGGACCCCGGCAGGTGAGGAATGGAGGGGAGTGGGCATTGCTTGGTGGCCTGTTGGAAGGGATACGATGGGATGAGATGGAATGGAATGGAATAGAAATAAGAAGAGAGTGGGATGGGATGGGATAGCATAGAACTGAATTGAAATAGAATGGAATTGAAATAGAATAGAAAGAATAAAATAGAATAAAGAATAGAATAGAAATAGAATATAATAGAATTAGAAAGAGTAGAACAGAGTAGAATAAAGAATAGAATAGAATAGAATAGAATAGAAGAATAGAATAGCATAGAATAGAATAGAACAGAATAGAATACAATAAAGAATAGAAATAGAATAGAAAGAATAGAATAGAAATAGAAATAGAATCGAATAGAATTAGAAAGAATAGAATAGGGTAGAATAAAGAATAGAATAGAAATAGAAATAATAGAATAGAGTAAAATAAAGAATAGAAATAGAATAGGGTAGAGTAGGGTAGGGTAGAGTAGAGTAGAATAGAATAGAATAGAATAGAATAGAATAGAATAGGAGTTGTAAGGGACCTTGGAGGTCTTCTAGTCCAGCCCCCTGCAATGTCAGGAGGCCCTATACCCGTGATGGCAAACCTATGGCACGCGTACTACAGGTGGCACGCAGAGCCATTTGTGCCGGCATGTGAGAGGCAGGCAAACTTACCTTACTGTGCATGCGCGCACTTCATAGCTAATTTTGGCCGGTTTGAGGCCTTTTTCGGTCTCCTAGAGGCTTCAGAAAAGCTTCTTCAGGCTTTTCAGGCCGAAAAACTAGGCCCGTTTCCTCACTTCCTGTTTTTCCAGAAATACTGGAAGTGATGAAACGGGCCCAGTTTTCATCCTGAAAAGCCTGCAGAAGCTTTCCTAAAACCTCTGGGAGGCCGAAAAAGGCCTCAAACTGGCCAAAAATCAGCTGTGAGGTGCAGTGCAGATAAGGTGGCGGCGAGGGTGGGGATTGTGCATGTATGCGTAGGGAGCGTGCACATTGCCTTCTGGGTGCTGGCGCACGAGTGCGAGCGTGCAAGCGTGCGCACAGTTTTTGGCACAGGAGCTCAAAACGTTTAGCCACCACTGCCCTGTACCATTTCAGATTCACAATAGCTGGGTTTTTGATGCTTTTAAGAAGAGATTGGGCCACCAATTATCTGAAAGGGACCAGGTTGTCCTGCTTGGGCAGGGGGTTGGACTAAAAAGGCCTCCGGGGAGATCACGTGGCCTCGGGAGTCGGGACACTACGACCGTCATCAATACGAGCCGGTTGGGCCAAATGTCTGCATTTTGACCCCCGTGACTGTGGAGATGTTGCAGCGGCCATTAAGTGCGATAGACTTTTTTTTCAATGCCCTTGAATGGTCACTAAAACGGATGGCTATAAGTCGAGGACCGGCTGTATTCTGTATTCTAGCCTGGAAGGAAGAACTTGGAGTCTTTCAAATGGCAGGTCCTCCTTTTGTGACAGGTGTCGGATTTGGGCCGGGGTGGGGGGCAGGAGGGAGGGAGGGAGGGAGGGTTTGATGCCTCTGTTCTCTTTTTCCTCCTCTTGGCTGCCAACACAAACGGAGGGTTTCCTTAGCGACTGGCAGAACCCCTTGGCGGTTGCTAGGGAGGCCTTTAGGGTTTCCTTAGCAACCGGAGAGGAGGGGAGAGAGAGAAAGATGGAGAGAGAGAGAAATGAAGATGTAACTCTCTCCATCTCTCTCTCTCTCCCTCTCCCTTCCTCTCTCCCTCCATCTCCCTCTCTCTTCCTCTCCCTCTCCCGCTCTCCATCTCTTCCTCTCTCCCTCCATCTCTTCCATCTCTCCTTCCCCCACTCCCTCCCCCTCTCCCTCTCTTCCCCCCTCT